GAGAACTTTTAGAAACATTAGTTTTAATAACTACTCGTGGTTTTAAATTTTTTATAATAAACCTTTTATGTTAAGACCCCAATTTCTCTCCACCTAATTGTGTGCTAATTAGCTGAAAGTGGTAAGTCAAATAAATTCTCTGAATCCAGACACTATATTTTAAGCTAACCTTAGCTCTCGTCTACGACCTCTTGTCATTTTGGTCAATCCCAGAATTGAAATTCATAGCTTTAAATACAATCACCATTTTTTCAATGCAGAATAATTCCACTAAGCATATAAATCATGAATCGATTATCATTGGGTTTTTTTTATATTACCTTAGCTTTCCTTAAACCAAAGCAAGACGTGAGTGAAGAACACAATTGTCTCACTTTTATTATCAGACTGAAGATGTGTGAAGGTTAATTATTTGATTAAATTATAATTTAAAAAAAAGATTTATTTTCACCTTATCCTACCAAGTCCTTCAGTTGGAATTATGGCTAGTGAGCCTAACTAAGGGGAGAAATCCACCCAAGTAGTTTACGGCGTGAAATGACCCTTCTGATCACGATCCGACATGGATAAGAATGTTTAACTTACTCAAGTAGATATGCGAATTAAATGCCAACCAATAGACTCTATCTAACTACTAAGCGCAATTTCAATTTAGCCAGACAAACATTATTCCTCATAGCTCCTCTTACCTCAATCGCTTTGGGTAGTGAAGACTTAATAAAGCGTCAAATATTGACACCATGCTTCAAGGAGCTCTCTAGACGAAAAAAGACATTTTGAAACTAAAAAGCCTGCATTTGGAGAATCTGAACAAAGAGATATCGTTTATGCTCAAAATTAGCATCTTAAACAGGGTTATGTTAACAAATGACGGTATGAAGGACTGTGTAACTAGACAATAGAGTGTCAAGGAAAGGTTAGATTTAGATTTTGCGGGGAATATAATATCAATGCCAATAACAAGTGGTTGACCTCAAATTACCTTCACGTAGAGTGCTTTGACCCATTCCTTGAATTAGTCTCCTGATTATCATGCCACAAATATATACTGCTTTGAGGTAAAATGAAACTCCAAGGAAAAAGTTGTATGACAATTGTAGCTAATATGGGTTAATTGTAGAATACCGACAGTTGCCTCAGGACTAAATATTGGACCCAGACAAAGAATATACATCTAAATTATCGTTTGACTAACCATTTGAATTTTATAAAGGGTATATATAACTTATTCATCCACAAAACATAAAACAATTTAATGACATGTTGATTTGTAGCTTAGAGGGCATTTATTATTCTGCTTAAAAATATTACCTCTTTTGATAAATAGATGAGATGCAATAAACTGGTTGGCATGATCAAGCACTCACTTTAGTGAGTCGTTGTTTAAGCTCAAACTTCACAGACATGAATGTGCTCATAAAGATTGAAATTAATTATGAAAGAGTGTAGTGAATTTACAACTTTAGTCTAAAGTGGAAACATAGATATACTCGAAGTTAAATTAAGTAAGCCTATAAAGGATTCTGACAATATTCTCTACGCTTACTAGTCTCTCTTACTACCCATTGAAAGCTTCTTTTGTTCCTTGAATTTGTATGTTTCACTTGTTAAAAAAGCGGTCACTTTGCTTTACTAAGATAACAAAAGACATTTCTAGAAACAATTGAATTTGGACTTACAGTGACTAAGATCTAACGGAAATTTGGCTCATACTTTTACTTAACTCGACATCACCATCATTTTGCTTTAAGCATAGGAGGTAGAAAATATAAGACTGGTTTCTACTACCGGCATCTGAACTTTTCTCAATCCTAACGTGGGAAAGGATCATATAAGAAAGTACACATTTAACCTCTTGGAAATGTTACATTCGAAAGCTCAATTAGCCTTACCAATAAATCTGTCCTTCAGGAAGGGCTTGAATTTGGATCCGATAGGTGTCTCAAAGGCATCATTCATGT